TAACGCCCCCCCCCCCCTCATTCCCCCCCCCCTCACCCTCCGCAAAAATGGTGGAACATTTTGATCTATTTAAATCATGAACCGCAGCGCCAAAGAGCCTCCACGAGAGGAATGTTTGGTCTCAGAGGGGCTGCAGCTTGACTCAAACAATGTGCACCGTCACAATCAGTTGCTTTTTGTCCCCCCCAAACCAATCGATACAAAACAGCGGTCGAGGAGATGCGACACCTCATCAGGGGCGGGAAGCGCCAAGGTCCGCTTTTTATCCGCGAGCCGGCTTTTGGGGGTGAACCCGTCGCCGTCCGACGGCAACGCGAGCAGCTCAGAAACGCGGAGCGCCGGCCGGCGTTGGGCCGAGGGGAGACAATAGCGGATTGTCCTCCTTCTGGCGGCCCCTCACCCGCCAAGTATTTCGGGCTGCCGCGAGTCTGTGTTTAGTCTGCGCGGCCTGCGTTTGTTCACAGCGGATTCCGCCGTTGAGCGCGAGATTCCACTGTTGACAGAAAGTTTAAAGCTCTGTGTCAAAATGTCCATCTGGCTGTTTGATCGCGTGGCCCCTTTTGTGTCTCCTCGCCGGCTGCCGCGGTCGGGGCTCCGCCTCTGACTTTGATGCGAGCGTCCGCGCCGCCGGGTCGGTCCGAGCTTTGATAAAGGCGCGCGCTTCAACTCCGCTCGCTAACGCAACAGCTGGGGGCGAGCTTGAAGGTCGGGGGGGTCAAGCCGGGACTGACTTATTGGGGGCCGGATTCCCAATTGCAAAGGCACTCTTGGGTTGCGACAGATATGAGACATCCTTTTGCTTCTTAAAGTCACCTCACAATCATTTGGCACGCACTCATCAATTCTTTGCCGTCTTTGGCTAAGCACCAAACAAAGGCTATTGCTGCTAGCTTCAGGCTGAGGTTGAACGGACAGGCCTATTCAGGGGAAGCGAGCGTGTTCGTGAGAGAAATTGGACCGGCCGCCCGGCGGCAGAGAGGAGGAGCGAGCGGACCCCGACGGCCGCTCCAAAGACGGCGCTTTCCGACAAGGAACGGGCGGCGGCGGGGAGCTGAACCGGAACTCTCCGGCTCGGATGAGGAGAGCGCGGGAGGCGCGGCGCCTTCCTCGACTCACAGTGGGGGCTTTCTTTGGCGCCGGCGCGGAGCAACAGCTTGGCCACGGGCGCGTCGTTGGTCATGACGGCGATGTCGAGGGGCAGCAGGCCTTCGCTGTTGGGGGTGTTGAGGTCCAGCTCCTCCAAGCTGTACTGGGAGAGCAGCAGTTGCACCAAATCCGACTGCTGGTGCTCCACCGCCTCAAAGAGCGCCTCGTTGCTCTGCAACTGGGACACAAAGAGGTTGGAGAAAAATACTCACACGGCGGCGCCGCTCCCAAAAGAAAGGAGCCGCTGCGATGTGCGTACCTTTTTCCTGGTCGATTTGTTGTTGTTTTTTTTTTTGTGTGGGGGAGGGGTTGCTTGTTGAGGATAATAAAGAGCCTGCACGCATTTTTAATATTTGTTCCTAGTCCGGTTCACTGACTGCTGGGGGTGGGGAGGGGGGTCTATTGTCAAAAATATATATATACTACACACAAAAAAGTTTGGGATTTAGGGTTTTCAGGTGAAATTTCACAATGACCCTAAACTACCTTTACATGTGAGCTTAATTTGAACTCTAAACTTTGAATTGTCCAATTGAAATAACAAATGGAGTAGTGTATGTTTGTGTTCGGCTGCCATTGTGTCATGACAGTCATTCAGAACGGAGTCAGTAATTGAAAACAGGCGGCGGCTTGGTTCTGGGTGTCCACCACATCTCCCACCCCTAACCCACATGACAGAACTTGCAAAATTAGTGACTCACCCAAGTTGGACTTGTTATGTGTCTGAAGTCAATAAATAAAAGGGAAGACTCCTCAAAATTCCTTTCATGGAATTCATGTGCTGAGCTGTGTGATGCTGCGTCAGTATTTGTAATTGGACACACTTGGAAAAACATTCATTTCCATCTAACTAACTCCTTCCAGGCTTAAAGGAAGGCTCTTGCTCTTTAAATTCTTATTTGAATAAAAACATATTTACAAAAGCAAAACTCCTTATGTAAAGGCAGCAAATCGCTTCACGTTTTTGCGTATAAATCTGAGATGATATTATGTCTTATGAAAATATGATTCCAGATCTGTAATGACCTGAACTTATGCAGCAAGAATCAATTCCCCACGAGGAAACTGTAAAAAAACCGTGCTGCATTGAATGCATCAGTCAACAACATTGGTCGCTTGGATTTATTTCTCGGCATGCCGCTGTCGGTAATTTCATTTGGGAGGAGACTGTTGGCTGAAAGAAAAATTATATGATGCTGATCAGACGCTAACGCTAACCTCTGCGTTTGACTAATCCGGCTCCGCCTACCTTTTGGCTTTAACGTGACACCAATGTGTGGGGGAGGGGTTGCTTGTTTTGAACCCGTGATTATTTGCTTCTATTCCGACATTGGCCGGGACTCACCACGGTGCTTTTGCGCAGTCTCTCCTTGTCTCCCTCCTGCTCCGACGGCGCGCCGTCCTCCGAGGCGGCGGCGGCGGCGGAGGAGGAGGAGGAGGGGTTGGTGCTCACGCGGAACTTTCCAGACAAGTTGCGGTAGAGGCGGCGAGCGGCGCTCGGCGAGGACAGGCTGGCGGACTTGCGGGCCGGGGTCGGCTGCTGGCCCTGCTCCCCCCTCATGGGCCGCGTCATCTTGCATGAATCAGCCCTGCCAGACGGAACAGAGAAGAAGAAGAAGAAGAAAACAACATCCATGACGTGGGCTGACTGAGATGCGCTCAGCACAACGCCGCAATCGTAATCGTCTGCAGCCACAACCGCACAATGTTGGGGAGGGCTCGGAGGGCGCTTGAACCGAGAAATGATTCAGACCCGGCCAACTCTGGAGTCGGACGCATTTTTGGGCAGCGGATTTGATCGGCAGAGCCGCTTTCGAGGGTTTCGGCAGGAAAGGGCACAAAAAAGGGGCGGCGACTTTTCGGCATCAATGAAAAGCCCTTTTCACTTTGTCAATGATTGAATTTCCCTGACCTGACGCTTCCCCTTCAAGACGGCGGAGTTCCACTTCTTCAACCTTAGAACAACTGCCAAGTGGAACAAACAAAAACAAAACAAACAGCTCGGCGTTTCACCGTCTATCGATCGCCTTGACCAGGGAAGTGCTCGTGTTCATTTGGACTTTTCACACAGTGTTTGATGAAAGGGAAGCCCTCACTCATCAGAAACTGAGCCGAGGGACCGCCGCCGCGTCTTCATTGGCTTATGTTGCAGCAAACAAGAATAGCGAGGAGCAACTCCAAAAAAATTAAAAAAGCATTGGTCTCGCCAATTTTAGGACTGGGCTCAGCCTCTTGCGGAGAATATTCTCACAGGAGGGCCAGTTCAGCTCAAATTTCACCGGCCAACGTAATCGTCCCATGAAAATGTACTGGCGGACACCCGGAAATCCAATTTGGAGGCCAAAGTGTGCGTAGCCCCAAAAGGAATTGACTTTCCCCGCTCACGACGCGGTCAAAGACTTTGGCCGACGCCGTCAGCTGAATGACAAAAGCCACAGAAAATTGGTCAAGCGGAGAGCATCGGGGGGAGCAGGGGATGCTATTTTGATTCGGGCTCAGCGTCGGACGCGGCGCGGGTCCGCGGCGCGGCGTCGGCGTGCGCAGGCGGGGGACCGCGC